GAATGAGTGGTGGGTGTAAGGGCGAAAAGGAAGGAAGGTGACTTGGCCGGTCCATGGGGTGTAAGCACCTGGGGTAGAGGTGGGGTTTATGGGATGGGGGGAAGGGAAGGGGAGAAATGGGGGCGAAGAAGGGGCATGTAGGGTTGGGGATCAGGGAAGGGGATGATGAGGTGAGTGGTCGAGGGGAGGGTGGATTGGGAGAAGGCAACGTTTTGCAAGGCTGATGCGATGGAAACTGTCATGAAGAATACATGGGGAATATCACCTCACCTCGCTAATGCAAACTGCCAGGGACTCAGTAAGGGGCAAGCGACTCCTCACACCACCCCCCATTCTTGCTGCTGCTGCTATCACCACCGCCGTTGCTGCTGCCATTATTGGTGACAGAGGCAGTGCCACGAATACTGCTGCTGCTACAGGCACAGTAGCAGTAGTAGACGCTAATGGGGTTTTGCTCGTATCCCATGCTCGTTGGGTTGGTGAGTAGGAAGCTGTTGAAGTGGCGACACATATACAGAAGGGGTAAGGGGGTGTGGTGTGGAGAAAGGGGGAATGCTGTGAGAGGGTTGGTTGCTACTCCGTATAAGCAATACACGCTAACGGGGTTCTACTCATCATACCCCATGCCCATTGGGTTGGTCAACAAGAAGCTGAGACCAGGGCAATGCAGGACCATTGGGGTGTGTGTTTGATTAAATGGGACACAGGAGGGCAGGGCTCATGTCGCGTGGGCTAGTTGCAGTCTTGGGTGCTACAATTGTGTTATTATATTATCTTCATCTCACACTGGCCCATCGGTCCCCAACGAGAGAGTGAGCCTTGCTAGTGACACGTTCTGACATGTGCTGCTGCGCTGGCAACTGCCGGACCCCTTCTGGCCTCGCCTCCTCGCGTACACATATCAGCCCCGCCCCACCCCATCATTATGATACCCCATCGCCCACCTCACATGGGTCCGTAGGTCCCAACAAAGGAGCAAGTCTCTCCGAGACAAGGGGTACACAGACCAACCAACAGTTATTAACCCCACCCCATCCAACCCCATTTCACCCCATTATCCAACTCTCGCATCTTATCTATCTTCAACCCACATGGGTCCATCAGTCCCGGCGAACGAGCGTGCCTCGTCGGCCGACGTGGGGTGACGCCGTGGCTGATGATGGGGCTTTTATGCCATGCCAGCTTGCTTGGCCAGTGAGGGTGTATCTAGCATAGGTATATGCAAACAGCGGGGCATATGGTCGTGCACTGTTGTGATCAGAACATCGCTGATCAGATGGATGATCACGAGTGATGCACTTGTTGTGAGCCTAACGGTCTTTCACATGGGTCGGTCCGTCCTAGTGTATCTCTCACATGGGTCTCACAGGTGTAACGGCGAACGAGCGGGCCTCGCCGAGAGAAGGGGTGCACAGTCCAACCGACACATATTAATCCCACCCTGTCCCACCCCGTCCCACCCCGTCCCACCCCATGCTATGCTACCCAGCACCCAGCTCACATGGGTCCGTCCGTGCCAGCGAACGAGTGAGCCTTGTTGGTTGACATGTGGTGCCGCGCGGACGAGCACTGGACCCCCTCTTGCAACTGACGATCCGGGGAAGTGTACATTCCAACTGAAGCATATCAATCCCGTCCCACCGAGTCCCACATCATTGCACCCCGGGAATCTATCACCCAACCCAGCTCACATGGGTCCATCCGTCCCAGCAAACGAGCGCGCCTCGTCGGCCGACATGTGGTGCCGCGCGGACGACCGTGTGAACCAATCAGGAGGCGCGTCGAGGTTCACCGGCGCGTAGCACATCGCGTAGTTAAAGCCGTGCCGCATTGGGTGCCTCTTATGGTGCGCGTGTCCGCCGTATAGCAACAACAGCGGGTACTGCTGACCAATGGCATCGCAGGACCCTCCGCTGTCCTTTGTGGCCCCTCGTTGCAACTATCACCGCTTGAGAGTGGCGGCAGTGGCGGATTGAGAGGCCGCATTGGCAACCACGCTAAGGAGAGGCTCGTGAGGTGATGGGACCAGACGACGACGGGGTGTTTGCCTTTGCCACGTGGAAGAGGGACGAAAGAGAGGAAATGCAGAGCGACGCGGCGGACGTGGCGATTGATGCCACGTGGAGGAGGAACGTGGAGAGCAGGAGATGAAACGAGCCAAGCAGCACGCGCGCTGCGATGGAGAACGCGGAGCACTAGCGCCGCAGCTTGTGCCGATAAAGGCGCTTGCGCCGCCTCCGATGCGGGCGGTTGCACTGTCAACATGGCCGCTTGAGCCGCCAGCACGGGTGCGTGCACCATGAGCGGAAGAATGAGGCAACGCGGAGGGGATGGGATGTTCAAAACGACGACAGTGATGATTGTATGATTTGCCTCATGCCTGAGGACAGGCGCAGCGGCGCCACGACCAATGACTGGCAGTGGTAATGAGGCGCCTCAAAACTGGAAGTGGTGGTAAACTGGTTGGCTTTCGCATGGAATGACAGTCGGAAACGACAGTCGGCTGGAGTGGTTGGGAGGGAGGTGCGAGCGGGTGCCCGTAAGAGCTCATTTACTGCTTTGAATAATTAATAATACCGCTTGAAACGGAGCGAAAACTTCATAAACCGTACTAAAGAGAAGCACTACTGCAGAAAGGTTGAGAATGATGGTAGTGGCTCTAGTATATTTTCACACACATGTTATGTAATCAATCGTCCAGGCGAGGATGAGAATTATTAGCCAAATTGTTGTTCCCAAATATTGGTCACCTCGACAAAACTTACGTGTTCATTTTTCCATACTCAATGAAGATATCACATCAGGGAAGACGCAGCGTGAAACGCCCTTAGCAGCGCGACACGCCCTTAGCAGCGCGACACGCCCTTAGCAGCGCGAAACACCCTTAGCAGCGCGAAACGCCCATAGCAGCGCGAAACGCCCTTAGCATCGTAAAATCCGCCCTTAGTAGCATGAAATCCGCCCTTAGCAGCGCGATCCGCACTTAGCAGCGTGAAAACCAAACCAGCAGCGCGTAGTAGCTTGAAACCCTCCGTAACAGCGAGATATCCGCCACAGCAGCGCGATCTAGCGTGAAATTCTCCGTAGCAGCGAAATATCTGCCATGGCAGCGCGATCTAGCACAAAATCCGCCGTAGTAGCAGGGAATCCGCCACACCAGCGCGATCTAGTGCGAAAGTTGCCTCAGCAGCCTGATATCCGCCACAGCAGCGCGAAATCATCCATAGTAGCTGGAAAACCCAGCCACAGTTGTGCGACCTAGCGCGAAACAGGCCACAGCAGCGAGATATCCGCCACAGTAGCGCGATTTAGCGTGAAATCCGCCGTAGCAACAGGAATCTCGCCACATCAGCGCGATTTAGTGTGAAATTCGCAACAGCAGCGAGATAACCGCAACCACAACGCGATCCAGAGCGAAGTCCGCCGCAGCAGTGAGACATCCGCCAAAGTAGGGCGGTCTAGCGTGAAACCTGCCACAAGAGCATGCTGTCCGGCCCAGGAGCGTGCAGTCCGGCCCAGGAGCGTGCAGTCCGGCCCAGGAGCGTGCAGTCCGGCCCAGGAGCGTGCAGTCCGGCCCAGGAGCGTGCAGTCCGGCCCAGGAGCGTGCAGTCCGGCCCAGGAGCGTGCAGTCCGGCCCAGGAGCGTGCAGTCCCGCCCAGGAGCGTGCAGTCCCGCCCAGGAGCGTGCAGTCCCGCCCAGGAGCGTGCAGTCCGGCCCAGGAGCGTGCAGTCCGGCCCAGGAGCGTGCAGTCCGGCCCAGGAGCGTGCAGTCCGGCCCAGGAGCGTGCAGTCCGGCCCAGGAGCGTGCAGTCCGGCCCAGGAGCGTGCAGTCCGGCCCAGGAGCGTGCAGTCCGGCCCAGGAGCGTGCAGTCCCGCCCAGGAGCGTGCAGTCCCGCCCAGGAGCGTGCAGTCCCGCCCAGGAGCGTGCAGTCCGCCGCAGGAGCGTGCAGTCCGCCGCAGGAGCGTGCAGTCCGCCGCAGGAGCGTGGAGTCCGCCGCAGGAGCGTGGAGTCCGCCGTAGGAGTGTGGAGTCCGCCCCATTAGCGTGGAAACCGCCGCAGGAGCGTGGAGTCCGCCGCAGGAGCGTGGAAACCGCCGCAGGAGCGTGGAGTCCGCCGCAGGAGCGTGGAAACCGCCATAGGAGCGTATAATCCGCTGACGTCGAGGTGGAATCCGCCATAGGAGTGTGAAATCCGCTGCAGCACCACAGTGTAGCGCGAAGCCGGGTCATAGCAGCAACGAAATCTGCGAGCGCCCCTCGCAAGCGCTCGACGCCATGAACAACAACCCCGATCCCCCTGACCAAGGTTGCACGGCGCCACCCCAGGGGAACACGAGGTGCACAAGGGAACTCCAGGGTGACGGAGGGAAGTGGACAGCCACCAAAGGGGGGAAGAGCCCGTCGGAGTCTGGCCCCAAGAGACTCAGAGAGACGGCACTATACTCGCAACACCCACGTCTCCGTCGCCTACACCACAGTCACGAGCTTTGCCTCTTAGGCATGCGCAGCAAACGACAACGGTGCGACCACTTTCGACAGAGGTGAGGACGGAGGCACACACTGAAGACACTCCGGGCAGCCCCGTAGCCAGCAGCAACAACTGCCCCAATCAAGGCTTGGCGGTCACGGAAGGGGGCGAGCACGTCCACGGGGAGCATAGGCAGAGCATCGCCCCTGATGATGCGATGGCAGCACGGGAAGCACATCGCCGGCGTTTGCAGGAGACGCACGACAGGCGTTGACATGCCCTCGGCACTCCGTTGACAGGCTCTGCCCTCACCAAACGCGGCATCCCAGCACTGCGCGGGCCACGTTTGGCCCGACGGCAGGAACGGAGGCGCACGTCCGGAGTCTGCAGAAGAGACCCCGTGCGATGCTGGCCGGGGTAGAGCTGGAGCCGCGGCCGGGAGGGCGGCACGGGCGGCTGGCGGTGCAGCATGGGAGCCTAGAGGAGGACCAGCCGCAGCTGCCGGCGGGAGGGCAGTGGGAGCGGCGAGATGAGACGCGACATGAACCGCGGAGAGGGGGGAAGCAGGGGAGTCAGGCGGGGAGCCAGCTCCGGCTGCCGGCAAGGGGCCAGCAGAACCCCCGGCGGGGAGGGCATCAGATGCTGCAAGCGGGGGGGCAACAGGTGCTGCCGGCAAGGGGGCAGCAGGAGATGCAGGCGGGAGGGCAACAGGAGCCGCGATTGGGGGGGCAGCAGGAGGGGCCAGCGAGGGGGCAGCTAGAGCTGCAGGCAGGGGGGCAGCTAGAGCTGCAGGCGGGGGGGCAGCTAGAGGTGCAGGCGGGGGGGCAGCCAGAGCTGCACGCGGGGGGGCAGCTTGGGATGCAGGCGGGGGGCCGCTAGAACTGCCAATGGCAATGCAACTAGAGCTGCAGGTGGGGGGGCAGCAGGGGCTGCAGGCGGGGGGGCAGCAGGGGCTGCAGGCGGGGGGACAGCAGGAGCTGCAGGCGGGGGGGCAGCAGGAGCTGCAGGCGGGGGGGCAGCAGGAGCTGCCGGCGGGGGGGCAGCAGGAGCTGCCGGCGGGGGGGCAGCAGGAGCTGCCGGCGGGGGGGGGCAGCAGGAGCTGCAGGCTGGTGGGCAGCAGCCGTTGGAGGCGGAGATGGAGGTGGAGCAGCAGGCCGGGGGGCAGCAGGAGCTGGAGGTGGAGATAGAGGAGCCACAAGAGGAGGCGCGAGGGGAGCTGCAGGCCGGCGCACAGGAGGGGAGTCAAACAGGAAATCAGCCCCAGCTGCAGGCAGGGGGGCAGCAAGGGTGTCATGAGGGGAACCAGCTCTTGCCTGGAAGCGTACAACAGGGGCTGCTGACGAGTGAGTTGCAAGGGATGCAGGCGCATCATCAGCAGGGGGTCGCTCGCCTGGGCGGCACAGGCCAAGCGGAAAGGCTGTGGGCACGGCGCTGAAGAGGGAGACGACACGCATCCAATATGCAAGGAGCACCCCAGGGAGTGCAGCAGGCTGGGGGGCAGCCGGGGGTGACTGGAGCACCCCAGGGAGTGCAGCAGCCAGGGAGGCAGCCGGGGGTGGCAGGGGTACCCTAGGGAGTTCAGCAGGCTGGGGGGGAGCCGGGGGTGACCGGAGCACCCTAGGGACCTGGACCAGCTCCTGCCGCTAGTCGGAACCCTCTACGACACACCTTCACGTCTACTGGTAGACACGGCCTTGGGAGTCGACCACATCCTGCGCTCTCGGGGTGTGCGACAGGGCGATCCGCTTGGCCCTCTCCTGTTTGTGGCGGCGATCCAACCAACTCTGATGTGTGCAGCATCGACTCACCCTGGAGCAGCTATCATAGCGTACGCCGACGACATCACAGTGGTAGTGTTCCAGACCTTCGACGTCATCGTTAAAGAGCTCGCGAAGCGCGGACTTCGTTGCAACGTTGGGAAGTCATCGGCATGGGGACCGACAGGGGGGAAAGGGGGACTTACAGAGCCGCCACATGGCCTGACGATAAGCACGGAGGGTATCAGAGGGCAGCCCCATCGGCACACCGGAGTACTGCACTTCTCAGGTTCGGCAGCAGCTCACCAAATCATCGTCTCCGGTCCCCTTGATTGCGCAGCTGCACCCTTGGAGCGAGTCACTGCTAGGCGCTGCACTCACGGCGGGCAAACTCAGGGTCCCCTCAAGAGAATTGGAACAGAGCCTCCTTTGCCGACAGGCGACCCTGCCCATCCGCCTTGGGGGCTTAAGCATCATCGACTCAATCTCCGAGTCCCCGGTGGCCTACATTGCCTCGGTGACGGCGGCGCATCACCTGCTACAACAAAAACCTGCCAGATTCACATATGCTGGCACGAGCGGTAGCCTTACTCTCGCGGGATTGGGCTCCTCCCCCTCCAGGGGCGAACGTGCTAGTGACGCTGGAAGAGGGCCTACCAGCAGAGGCAAAGGCAGCACTACAAGCCTTCTATCAAAGCATATTAACACGACAAGGGCAAGAGAGTTGCTAGCAAACACCATGGTCGTCAAACCGAGGGAAGAGCAGGGGCATGGGGTTAGGTTAATCTGTTTGACCGGGTTAAGAGTTTGGGCTGGAGATTGGCTTCACGGAGTGCCGACGAGATCTGACCTTACATTTGCCCCTGGTCAGTTCTCGTTAGCGCTCTGATTCCGCCTTGGCCTAGCCGAGCCGGTCACTGTCAAGTGCCCCTGTAAGCGTGGTAACTCGGTCATCAGTGATACAAGCCTTGCCAACCATCTGCTCCGGTGTGGGGAAGGAGGTGATGTGGTGCGGACACATAATGCTCTGGTTTATGCGGATTTTAGGGAAGCCGCCGGGGTGGGCAGCCAGGGAGGCCTCGGAGAAGAAGCATCGGCAATACGAGGGCCGCCCGGACTATGTCGGTTTCTTTGGGCTGGCCGTAGAGACATACGGGGCTTTGGCGTCAGACATGGTCCAATTCCTTCAAGTGCTGGCCGTGGCGACAGCTAGGAAGAAGTTCCGGCAGGGGCCCCTCACTCCAACGGCCTCAAGGCTCAATGCACACTACCGGCAGCGCTGGTCTGTTATGCTGCAGCGCTCACAGGCTACCTCGTTCCTCAACAAGTCCAACCTTGAAGCTGAAGAGGCCTTCCCTCAAGCACCGATGGACCCCTGGGAGCCAAGCCTGGGGGCACCTGTGGCAGGTGCTTGAGGATGACCTAGGGGGTGTTTAGAGCCTTGGGAAAGGAGGGGCTGGATAGGAGGGGCTGGATAGGAGGGGTCTACCCACTCACTTACTCACGGTAGACCACTGAGCTGAATACTCACACGTGATAAGCTGGCTGGGCTTCAGAAATGGTTGACAACTACAGAGTTATGAGAAACTGGCTGGCTCTATAGCAATGCTTCAAGCCATGATTCTCCTCGGGAATGAGTCTGGGATGGTGTCATGATGCCATCACTCTTGTACTGGGGCGTTTTTTTCACTACGGCCCTTTCGTATTGAACTAGCAGTGCAGTTCCAAACCCTTTTTGGTCGTTCCTTTATTGTGAGTCACGGGCATGCTCTCGTACCTTGGGAGTGCTTGTGCTGGCACGCTTGAAGGTAGAGGCGTTGCCGCCCGTGGCGACGGCGTTGCCGGCAGTGGCCATGCTGGGACCGGGCGTCGGGCGCACTGCCACTGAAACTGCGGACACGCGAGTAAGGATGTATGAAGAGCAGTCAGAAATGAGAGATGCCATCTCCATTGGAGAGCTTCACGAGACAATATGTCAACAGTCGTTTGCTGACGGCATGCTTTAGCGAGGCGAGAAGGAAGGAATGCGGGAGCGAGCAAAAGTGAGGGAGAGGGAGGGAGTATCACGGTGGGAGGAGGTGGGCTTTGTCTGAAATGCTAGGCAGGAATGAATGCACTAGGAAAGTGTTGGGTACAAGTATGAAACCCTAAAAGGGGCTGTACCCCATATTGGCTACCCCACTACAGCCTAAACATATATAGCATACATATAATTTGACACACCCCCATAGGCAAATTGGGGGAGAGCAAGGGTCACAAGACCAGTCAAGAGAAGCAAAGCAAGCTCAGGGTGGATCACAACGTCACCACACACACTGAGCACAAGTTAAGGGGCCACAAGACCAGTTCACATGCAGAGGTATATATGCAACAACAACAGCACAGTGATCTCTACCTAGCAGAGCAAGCATGCAGGTATATATAAAGATCACAGTACAAGTGAAGTCTACAGCAAGTGAGGAAACGTGGGCACAAGGCCTAACAAAGTACAAAAACGCTGATGATCACCAGACGGAAGTGCCTTAATGAATATATCAGCAGTGTTGGCCCGAGTGGCCACGTGAGCAAGACGAAGCTGACCACGCTGCTGCAACTCTCGAGTAAGGAAGTAGCGCAGAGCGATGTGCTTCGTTCTGTGCTCCAGTCTGTGCTCCTGACACAAGGCAATGGCGGCCTTGTTGTCTACGTACAGAACTGGAGGAGAACGAGGCCGCTCTCCCAGGTCGGTCAGCAGGTAGGTGAGCCAGCGTAACTCCTGTGCAGCCATGGCTGTGGCGTAGATCTCAGCCTCACAACTGGAGCTGAGAACAGAAGACGAGCGTGTAGACCGCCAAGAGACAGAGCCAGAGCCAAGACTGAAGGTGTAACCCTGTGACGACCGCTGCGTAGCCAGGTCGTCAACCCAAGAAGCGTCTGAGTGCCCAGTGAGGACAACGTCGCCCCGTCCTCCAAGCACGAGCCCCATGCCCGATGTACTGCACAAGTAGCGCAGTACCCTCTTCGCAGCATCCATGTGCACCTTTCAGTGCCTGCCAGGAGCCACGTAGCGAGCCAGAAGGCCAAGAGGGTACGCAAGGTCAGGACGAGTGCAGGTCATCAGGTACATGAGGCAGCCCACTAGCTCTGGGTAAGGACCACTCGGCTCTACGGACTCGTCCGAAGGTGGAGCTGAGAGCGAGTGACCTGTAGCCAGAGGAGTGGCCTGTGCCGAGGACCAGGTGAAGCCGAAGCGCTGAAGGACCTGCTGCACCATGTGTGACTGAGTCGGTGTGATGGTGCAGCGTGCTCTGTCCCGGGTGATCTGCAAGCCAAGGTAATTGCGCAGCTCACCCAGGTCTGTGCACGTGTGTCTCTTCTGCAGCTCCGACTTCACGTGGGCGAGTGCCTCAGTGTCAGCAGTAGCAAAGACCAAGTCGTCGACGTACACGAGAACGTAGAACGGCGGCAGAGTGGTGTCGGTGCGTAGAAACAGCGACGGGTCAGCAGTAGAAGGAGCAAACCCAAGAGCCGCAAGCGTAGTCCTCAGTGTGTCGTGCCACTTACGGGGTGCCTGGCGGAGACCGTAGACTGGCCGCCGGAGGCTCCACTGGGTACCAGGAGGGAACGACCCAGTGAAGCCAGGTGGGCGGCGCAGCCAGATCTCCTCGTGCAGGCTGCCCTGTAAGAAAGCTGTGCACACTCACCCCCGGCGGACGGAGGACAGACAGACTCAGACTCAGCAACAAGACTAGCGGCGTAGTCTAGACGACAGGCAGCAGCAAAGTCAACAAGCTCAG